GGTAGGCCTTCATCAAGCAGTGGTTTGAAGGGGGATGGGGGGAGTTGCCGTTAATTATTAAATGACGCGAAAATTTGCATTGCTGTACATCCACTTTCAATCCACAAACGGCCGAGGGCTTTCCCGTGCCCTCCGCCGTGACTATCTTGAAGACGTGGAGGGGGGGGGGGGTGACCATACTTTAGCGCGCTGCAACCACGGTCAGAAAATCTTGCGGGGTGGTGGCGCGTCAAAATTGGTTCTCGTGATGTCGAAGCGGTCGAGAGACGAATCTCGGTTCAAATTCTTATTATGCGCCGTTTAGAGAGGGACCAGTGTGTTACGCTGTACCGGTGTCGCACCAACACGCCCATCCACTCACAAATGTTAGGCTATTAAAATATTTGTGAGTGTGCCCTAAGCGCGAGAAGGGTTCATGATTTTGGCGAGTGCCGCTCCCATTGAGGAACGCCGTTTCAAGCTGTTTTGTAGCGGACACCAAGCCATCGCTTTGGGCATCATCGCCTTGACAAAATTACACCAAAAAAAAAAGGCCTACACGTATGTTGAACCTCTGTCGTACGGTACGTAGCCAGCCGCGCTAATCGGAGGTGCGGGAGAAGGACGACAAAACAAACACAAAATCAATTCTAAAGAAATGAGTTTTCAATCTCGATGATTTAAAAGTGCGCAGCTCCAGTGGCTTCCTAATATCGGAAGAACGTTCCAGACGGCCGCAGGAGCGCATCTGAAAGGATGTGATGCGGTGACCACCGCCTTTGTTCGATGGCTCGCCAAAATCCACTGCTGCGAGGATTACCGGAGTTCGCTTGATGGTTTGCATGCTGCTTGACGAGATCAGAAAGGTACTGTGCTTCATTTGTGGGAGCACAAATCTTAGGGCTGTACTACAGGTCCTATATTTGGTGATCTAATCCAATTTCTACCAGAAGCACGTTCGTGTCATTTCAATGGCATCCACAAACTAATGTGTACGGAATTGTAACAGATTGGTTATTTAGCGATGCTGCTGCGGCTGCATTGGCACAATTAACGCACAAACAAAACTCACATTCGTCAATAACGCTATCGCCTTAAACATAAAAATATATATAAAAGCATGTGCTGTAAATAAGGCCCATTGGCCGAAACGTAACCTATTAATTTTTTTTTGCCTTCTGCCAAATGTGTTGACCTTTTACGAAGCATTACGATTCATAATTGACGTTTGAGTCAGATTGCGCAGGTGAAAATGTGTGTTGTACACCCTCCTCCACCCGACACAGCCGTTAGAGTTGTCTCATGAACAAAGGTGCCAATTTATTACCGTTCTGGCACACTGCCTGGCGTGCCGGAGAGCAATCCGCACACATTGAACAATTGGGTACGACGTTTCATAGGTTACAAGTAGCAGCATCAGGCAGTCGCCAGAATTATTCTGGCAAAGCATTGTTCCGTGTAGCATTAGTTTGCAAAATTGTGTTTTGTTGAGAGCTTGGCACATTATTTTTGGATTCCGTTGAAGTCCTATTGAGTAGTGGGCGCAAATAAGTTTTATTTCGCAAATAATTTCTACTTGCAGTACATCTCATACACAGCCGCATGTATGTGCCACTGAAGTGTTGAGTATGCTGACAAGTGAAACGCGTATTACCTAAATACTGCACCCATTACAGGTAATAAGACAGGCTTCATTAGGCGTATTATGAGAGCAGATAATGGTTTCAGTCCTCTATTAAATGAGGCAATTTAAGTAAAAATCTAATATATAATTATATAAGCATCTATTTAGAGAACAAATCATTATTTAACGTTTTAAATTAATGCACCTGAAGTCATCACTTTTAAGCACAAGCGAGGGATGATAACCTTTCCTATTATTTGATGTGCGAGGTGATGCTGATGGCTCAGACGTGAGAGCTCCGAGCTGGGTTCAAACCCAGGTTCCCGCCGTCTTTGGTTGTACCGGGTTCTCAAGCCTAGCGAGCTGATCGTCTCGGCCCAGTCAACCGATTAATACACACAATAAAACCCATCGCGTTCAATTTGATCGTGGGTTCAGTGTGGCAAAAATATCAGCCCTGTGACAACTGAAACAAACAAAAATATTGGTTTGACCTGCCAATCGACGAACGTTGCCCGCAGCCGTAGAGTGGCCGCGGAAGTTGCCGCCCCTTACCTTGTAGACCAGAGGTCGGTTCGAGCGGATCTCAGCGGTAGCTCTGTGAAGTCCACTTCTGTGGGCCGTTCTTTCGCACCTCAGGGGTAAAAAAAAAAGACTGCTGCACGAAAGAGCACCCCCGAAGGGATTGTTCATCTCGCTGATGCGACGACGGGGGTCGGAGTAAAATTGGGTGGAGGGGGGGGTGGGGAGAAAGACAAAACGGAAGAACAAAACAAATGAAAACGATGGGTCGCAGGCAAAGGCTGCCGACCTGTCGCGCACAGGTGGTGCTAAAGCGTTGCCCCCACACGTGTGGAGGTCGGCCTCGAGGGGGTGGGGGGGGGCAACCCGTCAGCCGGCCGCTCTAATCCAGCGATCAGCTGACGGAGAGAGGGCTTTAAAAGGACCCAGTGGAGCGTGCGGTGAATTAATCTGGTACGTAAGGTTTCGTGGACGCAGGCATCAAAGAGTTCAAAACTCAATTTTTGTGATGGAGCAAAGAATGAAAGAAAAGAAGAAGGGATGGGGTGGATGGGTGGTGGGGGAACTAGAGCAGATGACAACAAAAAACCTCTAATCTAATGACGGTCTGCCATAGCCAAAGGGAAGGTGAATCAATTCGCTCTATATCTGTGTGCAGCCTCCCACAAGCTTTAGTCTGGCACATAAAAAGCTGCACATTAGCAGTTGGGGTCAATGATGTTGAAAAAAATCAATAAGCACTTCCCAGGAGTGTTTCCATCCACTGGTTTTAAATGACTAGGGTGCGCCTCTCCAAAGCGTCGGGGTGGGGGGGGGGGGAGAGAGACGTTGGCAGAAGTCCCAACGCCAACGCCGCCACCGCCAACGCCGCACCGTCGGCGATCTTCAACCGAAAATAAATCCACGGCATGAACGCGCGTGTCGCCGCTGGCCCCCCACGGTGGCACCGCGCGTCGAGCGGAGCGGCAAAAAAGGTGACATCGGCGAGGGGCGCTGCGAAGAGCCGTCGCTCGTAACAGCGGCGTTTTTCGTCGCAAGGCCCCGCGGGCTCCCTGGCGACTCCCCCGTTGGCCTTTAATGCGGCCCCTAGCCCTGTCCCCCCCTCCCCTACCCCCCTTGACAATACACAAATGTCAAAACACTCCCCTTCATCATCGTTGTGCTGTCAAACCCCAATGGTTTCAAGTGTGGGGTGACCATACTCTTTGGTTCTATTCGGTAAAGTCACGTACCTACGTGACTTTACCGAATAGAACCAAAGAGTATGCATCCTTGCAGTCACGAAAGCTTTAAATCTAGAATTGTGGGGTGACCCTCACGCTGATGATGATCTTATCGGCGAAAGTGCCCCCCCCCCCCCCTCTCTTGAAAATTAGTGAAGAATCCTGCTTTATAGGAATCTGTCCAGAAACTTTTCTGGGATCAAATCCAGGTTTCAGCCACGCACGATATTTAAACCGGGATTCTCAAGTGTTGTAAGTGAGTTGTTGCTCTCAGCCAAGTGGCCAATGGAAGTGCACACGTTATAAAATAAAAAGTGACATTACATTTGGTTCTACACTAAATCTTGCCCACATTCCAGCTGTGAGAAAGAAAAATATTGGGGAGACTGTCATGTGATGAACATTCTCAGTGGCAGAGCGGGCAGGAAAGTGCTGCTCCCCACTGTGTGGGGACCAGAGGTCGATTGAACAAAAGATCTGAGAGGTAGCTCTGTAATATCCGCTTTCGGGGTGCCGCGGTGGCGAGATGTTAACTACCTCGCCTGGTATGCAGGAGGTCGTGGGTTCGATCCCGACCCTGACGCCTGTTGTATATATGGAGTATGCATGTCTCTCTCCCCGTGGTCGCGTGGATTTTTCTCCCGGTCCTCCAGGTTTTCCCTCCACATTTAGAAATATGCGTCCGGGTTGATGGCAACGTGGAAGATAGGTGACGGATAAAAGTACAGCACGGTGGACTTTTTTCAGCACCACCATTTGTGTTGTGGTCGTCAAACAAATCCAAGCACTACCTACCCAGGCCCAGCTCTGTTTAGCTTGCGAGTTCCGGTGAGATCGGGTGCATTGCCGACTTTATGGGCAGGTCACCCTTCATAAAAAGAGTATTTGGAGTAGATGGCTGCTCCCATAAATTTCCACGTGATAAGCCACTTCGTTGGGCTATCATTTGTGATAGCCAAGTCGCTTCCGAAAAAAGAGATAAACAGCTTAGAGGCTCTTACCTGGTCAAATAAGGCAACAGCTCATATAGTTTTTAAAAAAATCCGCAGGCCGTTCTTGAACACGAAGGAGGATTGGTGCTGATCTGCCGGAGCTGCGAATTCCCCGTGCCATGACGTCGATGGGCGCGATGGGGATAAACATCAGGGGTCGGGAAAGACGCATTTAAATACGCGTCAAAAAAAACATGCATTCGGAAACTACCTTCATCATCGGGAATCAGGATCAATCCACTGCTGGATGAAGGCCTCTCAAAAACCGTCGCCATCTCTCGCGATCCTGCGATGTATAAAAAAAAACGCGCCTGGCACCTGCACACGATGAACGTCCTCTGCTACAAAGGCAACACAACTCACTCGCTTCCCCTCCCTCTAAACATACCCAGCGTCCCTTTAAACAAACCCGTGCAGACGTCTTAAGAGTGCAGAGAATTCAGCACATTTTCGAATTCCTATTGGGTCACGCCCTATTCAAATGTGCCTGGTAGGTTACTACAGCGTCTCATACCTTGTCTGCTTCTCATGTCCACACTCCCCCCCCCCCCCCCGGTTTATGTAAATAACTTCTATTTTAAACCACACTAGGCGTTGGAGAGAATCTGGGCCCTTTCCGCCGCACACCCCGGGGATCATTCCCATGCCACTTTTTTTCAGGCATCCTCCCCGCCTGCCCGTGGGCTCGCGGCCAAAACCCGCGGAGAGATGAACAAAGGAATTATCTCCGCCACGTGCCACTGGGGGACGCCTCGACGTGGCGAAGAACGGTCGCAATCAAGACACGCATTGATACGCACGTAAATAAATAAATAAAAGGGCGCACACGTCTTGCGTAAACAGCTCGCGATGGCGGTGACGATGGAACGAGCACGACGCTTGGCGATTTGCGTCGAGAGACACAACGAGGAGCAGAGTCGATTCGACAACACGTGACATCACAGGGATGGTGAGCGGGGTTTTGGGCAGGGCACGTGGCGGCGAGGAGACGATGGCCGGTGGTCAAGAATAATGATTTAAAAAAAAATAAGCAAAATAAATACTATTTTGATTTTACCAGTTAAGGCCCCACTGAGCTATGTAGCTCTTTTTCAGAAGCGACCTGGCCGCAAATGATAGGCCAACGAAGTGACTTGAACGTGTGGAAATGTATCGCAAGCTAATACTTTAAGCGCATGTTTCTAAATGTGGAGAGAAACACGGGAGGACCCGGAGTAAAATCCACGCGACCACGCGGAGAACATGCACACTCCATACATACGGGCGCCAGGGTCGGGATAGAACCCACGACCTCCTGTATACCAGGCGAGGGAGTTAACATATCTCAGCCACCGCAGTCCAAGGAGTGGAACGCGGCGTTCGGGGTGGTCGTTCCGCCGAGGGAAATGGAGCGATGATGAAATCAGTTCCTGCGCAGGTGCTGGGTGGATTGTTAACATCGCATGGTTGTGAGCGGTGGCGACAACTTGGGGAGGCCTTCATCCAGCAGTGGACTGACAAGGGTTGGACGCGTGCGCACACAGTGTGGCACTGATAGATGATGTGCAAAATGTGTGGAAGAGTTGTTGAGTTTGAGAGTACACAAGTGCATAGTTATTTTTTTACTCAGGTGTCCTCTTGTAAAATAATTTTAGGCACGATGGGCTCTTAACAATGTCACCGTTATTTACAGAGCTTAGTCAATCCACTACTGGACGAAGGCCTCCCCCTACTCTGCGCAGGTCATGGGGGTTCTTTAACCAATACGTTAGCACACTGGCCAGAAGGGGTTAATGATAGCGGGGAACAAAGATTCATAATAAAGGTTTTTGGGTTAGATCGCGTTATTTATAAATGTGTCGCAACCCTCCACCACCCGACACGGCCAATCAGTAAAAAATAAAATGTTTCACGTTGACAAAAGACAAATAGTTCACTACTTTAGCCCAGCGGTGTGTTGAAGAGTGTATCAACAACATTTACAATTATTTTGAGTACGACGTTTCGCTGGTAATTACATCCAGCATCACCGGGGAATTTGCCAGATGATGCTGGATGTAAATTACCAGCGAAATGTCGTATTCAAAAAAATTGCAAATGTTGTTGATACACTGGTAATTACATCCAGCATCACCGGGCAATTTGCCAGATGATGCTGGATGTAATTACCAGCGAAACGTCGTACTCAAAAAAAATTGTAAATGTTGTGGGTACACTCTTTAACACACCGGTGGGCTAAAGTAGTGAACTATTTGTCTTTTGTCAATGTGAAACATTTTATTTTTTACTGATTGGCCGTGTCGGGTCTTGGAGGGTTGCGACACATTTATAAATAACGCGACCTTACCCAAAAACCTTTATTATGAATAATATTGGTCGCGAAAGCCTACGTGTGGGGAACAAAGATGATGGATCACAGTAGGGTACACGATGGATTTTTTTTCTGCATTGCCCACCGCCTATCCCCGCAGTCTAGGACATCCATTTGTGTGTGGTCGTCACCCAATCCAAGCACTATCCAAACCCAGCTCTGCTTAGCTTGCGAGTTCTGGTGAGATCGGGTGCATTGTTGACTTTATGGACAGGTCCACCTTAAAAAAAAGTGGTTGCTGCTACACATGTCCACATGATAAGCCACTTCGTTGAGCTATCGTTTGTGGCCAGGTCGCTTCTGAAAAAGAGCTATATAGCTCAGTGGGGCCTTACCTAGCTCAACAGGTGTTACTTGTCCTATAAAAATGGCGGGTTGCATTGGTCATAGGCTTAAAATTATCAATGGAATTGCTTTGCAGAACTTTTATTTGGCACGGCAACCCACTAAGTTAATCACTCCACATAAAAGAGTTTGAGAACGAGTCCTGTTTGTAAATGAGGCCTAAAAAGTTTGAATGAAAGAATCGGCACAAATGGGATATCGCGTGTTTAATTCTTCACGGGCATTATACGTTTAACGTATTTCCCTAACGCAAACAAATTTATTATCCTGGTTATGATGACACGACGGGGTAAACCTCAATGCAATTGCCTGATTGGACTGTATATTATGCGATAAGGACCTGGCGCGCGGGTAACACTACGTTTTCACGCAAAAAAATTACCACTTCCAGAGACAAAACGAAAACATTCTGGCTTGGCGATCCGCTGTTTGTGAAATGTCAAACAGAATAACTCACTGGGTTGTATTTTTTTTTCTTTCCTTCCCTACTTCCTTCCCCGCCCGCCAGCTCGGCCCACTCACATCGAAGGGTCCTGGAGATCTGCCAGAACCACTTTATCGGGAAAATTGAGGACAAAACTGGATTTGCGCCGCTGCCCTCGTTTCGCTCCCCGTCTCGCCACTTCTGCAACTTATTTTGTGATCCTCGTCCCGCTCTTACCGCGTCCTCCGCATGTGGACAGCGGCGTGCAATGCGTGCCTCTCCTCTCGGGCAGCTTTAGACGATTAAATGGCCTAATTTAACTTAAGCCTTCCTTTATTCGTTCCCACCACACCCCCCCCCCGCCCCCCCCCCCCTCGTTCTTCCTTTAAGAGGCTGAGCAATGGAGCGAGCGAGCGAGCGAGCGTGCGAGCAGCGAGACCTCGGCACACACGCGGCAGGGCGAGCGGCCAGGCGGAGGAGCGTGCTCGAGCGGTTTCCCCCTGTCGAGCCCTGCGGTGCCTTCTCCCCATTCCTCCGCTAAGACCAAATTAATGAGGATGACCCCTAATTTGGGCTGCCGCATACCGGGGCCATGGCGGCGGCGGCTGCTGCTTCTGCGCCACCGCGATTGCTCCACCATCATCAGCAGTGCACGCCACGTGGGGCTGGCTTGCTATTACGATGAAAGGCGATAATTACTGCCACCTATTTTTTTCCCGCAAATATTTGTCCTCAGTTTCGTTTTTGTTCGACTTTTTGTTTCGGTGTTTCTGGAAGAAAAAAAAACGTTACAATTCCGTAAGGACGCATTGTGGACAAGTGCAACGTTGAACGTTAATGCTTCGATCAATTCATTTTATTTTTCTCACGCTGAGTGTCATCCATCCTACCGCGGCGTAACGATGGTTAGCGCACCGGACTTGCGATCCAGAAGTCGCCGGTTCAATCGATCTCCCGGCACCTCAGCTGAAACGTCGGTGCAAGTTTCTTCCACACTCCCCCCCACATTTAGTTGATTGACAGGTCGCGTGCAGGCGGTGGGAGTAAAACGTGGGCAATTCCCTCCTTTTCCAAGATGTCTGGCCAAGCGCGGAAGAGTAGGCCAAAATACCCTTTCTAGAGAGGCTCCCTCTCTCGAGCTCCCTCTCGTGGAGGGCCGTTCTGCCAGCAGCGGCGCGAGCCAGTCAATTGCGGGGCCTGCGACTCAAGCCCCGACTACTTGAATAGGAACGCGGCACACAGATCAATCCCGCAAGTGGCACGGCAGCCCCGATCGCGGACAGCGGAAGAGCCGACGTCACAGCTCAGGGCTTTCCCCCGTTTTTTTTTTCTTTGGCATAAAATCTCATTCATTCCCGCGGCATAGCTCACGCTCACTTTGTTTCCGCGCGTGCGCGCACAGATCTTTTTTGCCACTTTGCGTCGGGCGCTCATAGCTCGCCCAATGAAGCGTCCGCTCGCGTCCGAGTTAATGTTTTCGCCGGTGTTATGATTTAGGATGGGCGCGATCGTTTCTGACACGTTTAAACAGATTGTGTAAAGATGACGGAAGAGTGTGTCTGCACATTTTTTTCTTTTTTAAACCTCGTTCCGCCCCCCCCCCCCAAAAAAAAAACCACAAACGGAACGTTCACGGAAGCAGCGGCGGCGGCAACTAACGCAAACGCGGGAAAGCGCGTGAGATGGCGAGTTAAAAGTTATTTATTTGAAGCCACCGAAGCAAACGCCGTTACTAAAATATAATAAACGTTAAGGTGTGCGTATAGACGGGCAATTTAAATAATTTCGGCCGTTTTTATAAATAAACAAACAGGAATGATGTCGATAACGGATGAGTTTCGGATGTAAAAATGTTGGAATTTTTGGGGGTTTTGACGGATAAGGTTTTATGTTTTTAAGGGGACTTTCTGATTGTGGTAATATAATCATTATAATCTAATAATTTCAACATGCAACGAACCGCCACCACCACTGTCGCACAGCATTCGCTCGCTCTCACAAAGAAGACGACTCAGAGGCGTGTGGGGGAAGTACAGGTGTCGAGGCAGCGTCAAACATTTCTCAAGCTCTGCGGTCCTTTGTATACGATGTTTCCGAATTTACATGTCGGGGGGGGGGGGGGTGGACTGGAGCACCCGAAAAAAATCGACATCATACAATAATTGAACTCATATTTTGCTGGAGTTCATAACCAGCAAAGATGTGAATATAATGGATCCAGGAGAGTGGAGGTAGTGAAGCCCGAATGGTGAAATTAGAAACACATTCTACACTGCGTGATGTTTTGTTTGATAAACTTAGCACAAAGCATCTTGATATGCGTCTGCATTTAGATGTGGCCTGTCGCCTCCATGCAATTCTACTATCGCTACTACCAAGGTTACTGTTCCCATGAGCGTCACCCCACTGATTCCTCATCCAGACTGTGTTCAACCACCACACTGCAGGTCACTTCAATTCCCTTCCTGCTTCTATCCTCACACTGCTCTGCTTTGAAATTCTCTCACATCGTCTATTTTCCCAAGTTTTTATAATAACCACGCTCAATTATATAAAACTGAGCTAAACATTTTTTTTTATTTAAACGGGCAAGGCCCACTGAGCTATACAGCTCTGTTTCAGAAGCGACCTGGCCACACAAATGATAGCTCAACGAAGTGAATTATCGCGTGGAAATTAATAGCAGCCAAATACTCTAAATGTATATTGATTGTAAATGTGGAGGAAAAAACGGGAGGACCCAGAGAAAAATCCACACGACCATGGGGAGAGAGAGACGCAAACTCCAAATATATAGGCGTCAGGGTCGGGATGGAACCCATGCCCTCCTGTATACCAGGCGAGTTAGTCAACATCTCGGCTCCGTAGCGAGATATTAACAAAGGTATTAACCTTTAAATATTGCGCTTTCTGTCGGTGACTTGGCACTTTGAGCCTTTGCTCACCATCAAAGACATGAAACGGATAGAGACGCAAGCCATGGCAATTGCACCGCCATCATCCACTCTCCATGCAATAAGAATCCCACGCAAAATCACACACGGGCATCGCCAGCCACCTAGTGCGAGCGATGCCGTAACATCGCTACTACCGGCCCCGTCGTGCCGACCATCGTGAGGTGGTTTGCACTTGGCCAGTAAATTGCGGTGGCGTGGCATCGGCAACACGGTAATCCCGCCACGGTAACCCCGCTATGGCCACCTAGCCATGGTGACCCCGCCACGGTGACCCCGTCAAGGTGACCCCACCACGATGACCCCGCCAACGGAAACCCAGCCACGGTGACCCCGCCACGGCGACCCCGCCACGGTGACCCCACCACGGCGACCCCGCCACGGTGACCCCGTCAAGGTGACCCCACCATGATGACCCCGCTAACGGCAACCCAGCCATGGTGGCCCCGCCACGGTGACCCCACCACGATGACCCCGTCAACGTGACCCCACCACGATGACCCCACCACGATGACCCTGTCACGGTGGCCCTGCCACGGCGACCCCGCCACGGTGACCCCACCACGATGACCCCGTCAACGTGACCCCACCACGATGACCCCACCACGATGACCCTGCCACAGTGGCCCTGCCACGGCGACCCCGCCACGGTGACCCCACCATGGTGACCCCGCCACGGCGACCCCGTCAAGGTGACCCCATCAAGATGACCCCACCACGATGACTCTGCCACGGTGACCCTGCCACGGCGACCCCGCTACAGCGACCCCACCGCGGTGACCCAGCCACGGTGCTGTGTACAGGAGGTGGCATCGCAACCCGGGGCCTTTTTAACGGACACCTGGCGTGCGCGCGGACGCACGTGCGCAAGGTGCGGCGCAATTAAAATAAAATTAAACCCCTCATTGCGTTTAATCCTAATCGACCGTTTTGAAGTGTGACATTTTTCTATTACGTTCAAGATGTCCGCAGCCGCGTGAATATTTTTCAATGAAATACGACACTCTTTGGGTATTTTGGTAAAGCCACGTAGATAGAAAAATAATAATAAAAAATACAATATCACGACGTTTCGATAGCAACACGAGCAATTGTCATCGGGTGAAAAAATACAGCAGGAGAACTCCTGACGTCGTGATATTTTTGTATTATTATTTTTCTATCTACGTGGCTTTACCGAAAGACCCAAAGGGTATGAATTACTGCAGTCACGAAAAAAGTAAGTCAAGATGAAATATAATAGTCAAACGTATTATTATTATTATTGTTGTTGTTCTGTATTTAACATGCTCATGCACAGCTATTGTGTCAATCCGCAGCTTGGGATTCTGGCTGATGATGACGGGATAATGAAGATACTGAGGCATGGGCAACATGGCCACTTGTTTTTCTGAGGCCTTCATCCAGCAGTGGATTGATCATGGCTGATGATGATAATACTGCTTGCCCAGGCAAAATAGCTGTTTTGATTATTATCATTATTGTTTACCCAGTAACGCCTTGCTGAGTCTCACGATTCTTTTGTTCAGGGAGGCCCTGAACAAAAGTTTTTGTAAAACGAGCCAATGTAGCCAAGTGTCATCCAAATTGAGTAATTTCCAGGTATTTTTTTCAACATCGGGATGTTTGGTCAAATGCCAGATACATTGTATGGTGTGCCACGGTGCTGAGATGTTAACTACCTCACCTAGTGTTAACAGGAGGACATGGGTTTGATCCCAACCCTGGCGCCTGTATATATATAGAGAGTTTGCATGTTCTCCCTGTGGTAGCGTGGATTTTTCTCCGGGTCCTCCGGTTTTTCCCCTACACATTTATAAACATGCGCTTAGAGTATTTCGTTGCTATACATTTCCACATGGTAAGCCACTTCGTGTGGTTATTATTTGTGGCCGGGTTATTATTTGTGGCTATATAGCTCAGTGGGCCTTACCTGGTAAAATAAGAGGTTTAATTTAGTTTAGTTAACTTAAGCAATGGGAGAAAACCCATACAGAATAGTGGGGAGACATACAAACCCCACACAGAGGGGAACCCGAGGTGGGAATCTAACCCAGACCCTTCTTGCTGAGAGGTACAAGCGTTACCCCTTTGCCATCCTGCCACCTTAGAAGCATAGCACAGGGATTACCTCTCGATAATGTACTGGCGAACGCGTACAGAAGCTTTTGTCCTTAATGGGGCACTGCGCAATATTCATTCGCTCTCGAGGACAGAGTATGACTCAGAGATGAGAGCAACCACAGACAAGCAGGAAAGGTGAAAGAATGCCAAATTCTACCCCTCCCACCCCAAGCTCTGCAATCCTCTCTATAGTGTTGACTATTTCTTAATTCGACACCTTACTAACTAGTGTAGCAAAAGAA